GGGGGGCTCGTGCAGAGCCCTCCCCATGCAGCATGGGGCAGTAAGGGGAAGCAAGGATCACTCCCCCCCCACCCCGCCCAGCAGCACCTGGTGATCCGATGATGCTGGTAGATGATCCAGGTTTTGCAGGCATAAAAGAGGGTCAGGAGAATGATGGCTTTGTATACCTTCAGTTTCAATGACGTTCCGATGCCTCTGTGGTCCCAGACCCACTTACGGAGGCTGCCAAAGGCCACACTGGCTTTCACTAGTCTCGCATTGACTTTGTTGTTGATGTGGACAATGAGAGAGCATGCTGCCTAGATAGACAGTAGGGCTGTGCAAAGCCTTGGGTGGTAATTCGATTCGGAGGAGATTCAGCCCGATGCGGTGGCCAATGACAGTGATTTGAATCATCAAATCAAATCACTATTCCCCGAATTGGCCAAATCTGAATCCGAAGGGAATACTAGCCACTTCACACAGGACTAATAGACAAACGTGTCAATCATTGACAGTTGTTGGCCTTTAACTGAGACGTGTGGTTCCTGGAGTGTTGCGCCAGTCACAGGTTGAAACATCACTTTGGTGGTCTTCGTGTTAATAGTGAGCCCGAAGTTGTTGCAGGCTGACAAGAATAGGTTCATGGACCATTGCATGTCAGCCCGTGAGCCTGTGCATAACACACAGTCATCAGCAAACAGGAAGTCGCAAAGCGTGGCTGTCTGGACTTCAGAGCTCGCTTGGAGCCTGCGCAGGTTGAAGATGTCTCCGTCAAAACAGTACCTGATCCCCATATCAAGGTCATCATCTTGAAAGGCATCCAACAGCATGGCAGAGAATACCATGCTGAAGAGGGTAGGTGTGAGCACACAGCCCTGCTTGATGCCATTTGTGACTGGAAAGGGGTCAGAGCATTCTTCATTCACAAGAATGCATGCCATCGTGCTGTTGTGGAACTGTCAAACCATATTCATTAATTTTCCGGGGCATCTGTACTTCTTCATGATTTCCCAGAGGCCTTCACGGTTCACCACATCGAAGGCTTTGGTTAAGTCGATGAACGTGAGGAGAAGGTCAGCATTCTGTTCCTGGCACTTTTCTTGAAGCTGCTGGGCTGCAAACACCATGTTGGTGGTTCCATGTCCTTTTCTAAAGCCGCATTGGCTCTCACGCAGTAGGTTGTTTAGATGGTCAGTCAGCTGGTTGAAGAGGACTCGTGCGAGTATCTTGCTGGCACTTGAGAGGAGGGAGATGCCCTTGTGGTTGTCACAGAGTTGGTGATTTCCCTTCCTCTTGTACAGGTGGACAATGGAGGCATCCTTGAATTCTTGAGGGACTACCTCCTGTGCTCACATATTGCAGAAGATCTCGGTTAGTTACTCCATAAGGTTGTGACCACCTGGTCTGTAGGCCTCCACTGGAATCACGTTGGCTCCAGGAGCTTTGCCACTAGACATTTGTTGTATGGCCTTTTGGACTTCCGCAATTGTAGGCAGAGCTTCAAGCGAGGTGTTGATGGAGATGGTGCATCCATGATGTCTTCTTCCGGTTGGGAAGATGGAACAGTAACCAGGAGCTCAAGTTCAGCACATGCTTGGCAGCATGAATGACTGGTGCCTCCTGGGACTGGGGGGGCACTATTTGTAGTTGGCAGCGAGCAGGGACGGCCCGCAGATGCCAGCAGTGGTGTCAGCAGTGGCAAGTAGGGACCACCTGCAGACGCCGGCAGTGGTGTCGGTGGTGGGGGTGGGGTGGGGGTGATGAGTGGCAAGCGGGGACCGCCTGCAGACGCCAGCAGTGATGTCAGCAGTGAGGGGGGGGTGGCGAGCAGCGACCACCTGCAGAAGCTAGCAGCATCTTCGACAGCAGCCAATCTCGGGGGGTGGGGGGGGTATGGCCCCCCATACCCCCTGTGCATCGCCTATGCTTGGCAGTCAGAGCCAATCCTAGCGTTGAAGTCGCCAAGGAGGATGAGACAGCCAGCCTTTGGTACAGCAGTGATCACAGAGTGGAGGTCATCATAGAACTGGTTCTTGACTTCATTGGAGTTGGTCATGGTAGGGGGTGAATGCACTGAGGATAGTGGCGCACTTTTTGCCAAGCAGGGAGAGCTTGAGCACCATCAGTCGGTCATTCAGTCCCTTGGACAGATAGGTCAGCTCCTTGATGAGGCTGTTTTATAGAGCAGAGCTGACACCTGCTTCCTGTTTGGCTTCACTGCCATGACCACACCAGAAGAATGTGTAACCAGCTTTTTCTTCTGTGAGCAACCCTTCATTGGGTAGGCGAGTCTCACTGAAGGCAGCAATCTGGATGTTGTATCTGCTCAGTTTTCTCCCACTGAGGGCAGTTCTCCTTTCAGGTCTGTTGGTGTTTCCGTCGGTCAACGTATGTACATTCCACGCACCCAGCTTGAGAGGAATTGATTTCTTTCCTTTTTGACCACTGTAGTGGGCCCCCCTCCCAGCCGTGGTATGCTGGCCAGGGTGAGGTGAAGCAGACAATGTTTGGGGCACCTTTCCTAGCCCCTTTCTCATTCTAGAAGGTGAGCAGTGCAGTCCTGAATAGGGCTGCTCAGTCACTCAGGGGGCTGCGGAGTTCTGCTGCTGCTTCTGTCCAATAGAAAGTGACCCAAAGCCCTGAGCCACCTGTGTGCATGTTTGTGGCTACAGCTTCCAGTGTGTCCACACCTGCTGCTTCATCACTGGCCCATCACCACAGGGCTTGTGCTGGATGTGAGTTGTGCAGGATTTATATTTAAGTGAGGAAGAGTTGCACAGCATCAGCCTCACTCTCTTGTCCCATGGCGCGGTGCTGTACCATCATCATGGCCATTGGACCATACAAGGGTCTCGTCTACCCAGTCAGCTGGAATCAGACTTTGCATGCTGAGATAGACATGTCCCTATCTCCCCAGAGGTCTAAGACTGACTGGGTACCCTCACCTGGCTTGGCCCGCCCATGGAGGTGGTTTGCCAGGGTGTGGCCGCTGTCGTGTGCAGACAGCTACTTGGAGCCACAAGTGAGAGCTGAGTGCTGGTGAGGACCAACAGAGGAAGACTCACTCAGGCGAGCATGATGTACTCTTTCGCTGGAGGTGCTACCTCTCCCAGATACCCCAGGACCCCCCTGGTTTGTCTTTTACCATTCTGGGTATTGATCATAGTGTCTAAAAAGGAAATGTTGGTGCTGGAGTATTCAAGTGATAGTCTGATGCAGGGGTGATGATTATTGAATTTGTGATGGAAATCAATCAGGGATTGCAGGTTTTCAGCCCAAATGATGAAGATGTCATCTATATAAGTTAGGTATAGCATGGGTTTGATGCAGCTTTTGAGGAATTCTTCTTCCAGGTGGCCCATAAAAAGGGTGGTATATTGTGGGGCCGCTTTGGTGCTCATAGCTGTGCCCATGGTCTGGAGAAAATGTTGGTTATTGAAAGTAAAGTTATGCTTGAGGATGAAGTGTAAAAGTTCTGTAATATCTTTGGGTCTGTACTCTGAGTTGTAAGCTTGCTTTTGTAGATATGTAAGGCAAGCTTGGATGCCATCCTGGTGTGGC